AATTCCAAATCAAAGCAGACACTCAAGAAGCACACAAAATAAAAGCTCTATCATAAATCTTGCATGTTTACTTGCAGCTTTCTTCACAATGAAACCACAATTAAGTCATAATGTGTTCTACCTGACACACTCTTGTGTTTTTGGTCTATCCCAAGGTCTCGCCCAGTCATCCATGTGCTCCGAGAAGTATCTATCGACCCTCAGTACATTGATCTGGAGCAGCGTAACTGCAAAGGCCGAGAGGGAGCCTGGTAAGCGCTTATATTGGGACACATTCTTCTTTTGAATTATGTTTTTCTCTATGATTTAATGGATCATCTCAATCATATGTAGTGGTTAAACTACTGTATAACAGATATACATATTTAAGCTTTCCACTGTCTGCCTTTTTTAGCGTGGAGGTCAAGGCCTGCTTCACCTTCACAGCCCACCCAGAACACTACTCCCCGCACATAAGTAAGTCACTCCTCGCTTTCCAAGACCATTTTTGTTCGTCACTTAAGTGGGACGGAAGTGATTTCTATTTACAGTGAAAAGCAACCTTATCTTTGGAGTAACATTAGACTTTATTTTTGATACAAATCACAGCTGTGTAATACTGTATTCCCTCTGATGGGGCTTCATCTATGTTTTGTCCCTGGTGGGCTCTTTAACAGCTCTATGTGTGTGTCCTGACATTTTTTCCTTCTCTCTTGTTGTTTTTTACTCCCATCCAGCCCTGGTGGTGCACTTTGAAGCTGACACCGAGCGCAGGAAGTTAGGCCTCCCACACCGTGTTAACTTCCTGGGACGCAGTTCCCTGGAGCCGGAGTATACTCAGACAGAAGAGGTGGAGCTCCATCGGCAGCGACACCCTGTGTGCACCACTGCTACCTTCCAGCTCGATGTCAGTAACTTAGATGTGTTTGTGTTGTCCAGATACAATTCATCAACCACAGCTGTTGTGGTAGTGTAATAAGGGATTTGTACTTAGTTTGAGTTATTTGTTAACAATTGCAGGTGGTTTTTCATCTTCGTTTTTGCATTCAAAAGTGGTGGAAACATAATACTTAATACAAATGGTAAAAGTATATTGCGTGTTTTTAACATTCTACCATTTTTACTGAATTTAATTTACATTCAATATTTTTACTATAAAGTTAAATTGCTATATCTCCACTCTTTCACACCATAAACAAACTCTTTGACCAAATATTTTTGTTAAATTTGGTTCAAATCTCTGTCCATGCAGGATAACATCCTTGACAAACTGCGCCCCATCTCATTGGCGATGACCCACGAGATCAAGTCTGTGCCCCCCCGCAGACATTCGGGTGCCAAGAAGCTGGAGAAGCTGGCGCCTGTTCTGAGTGTTTCCCCGTCCAATACGCTGCACTCTGAGGTCTGTAACAAAAGAAAGCTCAAGTATTTTACTGTCTTGATTCATTTTAATGGGCCACACTTGCATGTAGATTAGATTATACAGAAATGAAAAACTTCCTATCAACGGTTTGATTCTTATGTAAGTCAACTTGTCATGGCTTATGAAAGTCTCAAATATTACATATAAACAAACCTAGCTGACAATTTCTGTTTAGAACATTAACATTGATAGACATGCAGAATTAAAGAATTTTGAAGACATGTATTGCTTCATTTGTTTTCGTTGTTCTCCTTTTAACCACCACGTGTCTGCTGCTTAATAGAGATGTTATGCATTATGATTAAAATGTGTAATGCAACTAGGGCTGCAAGCGGTTAACATTTACAAAAATAAAATTTCTTCTCAATCACTTACTTTGTTTCTTAAAGTTAAAGGTAACAACTTTAAGTGTCTTGTTCTATCCAATATTTGGAAACCAAAATAAATTAAATACACTTTGTATATGTATTATTGGCTCCATGTTTAGCTTTAAATGCAATCAAAATGTTTTGTATAATGCAACATTTCAGTATTTACCATTCTACAAAAATGTAATCTTGTTTTAACAAGCTGACAGTAGACGAAGATTGTGTTTTGAGATTTAAAAAAACTTCTTCACGTCTTCCTCTTTTACCGTCTGAAGGTGAACTTCCTGCGAGAAGGATGCGGCAGCGACAAGATCTGCCAGAGCAACCTGAAGCTGAGCTACCAGTTTGGAACAAGACCCCTGACCTCCGACCTCTTCACCCCACTGCCAAAGTAAGTGTCTGCTCAGCCCACTCTGTGTGGGCTAGACTGTTGCCTAGGGACACCAACATAAACGTTCATGTGTGTCTGTTTTTATAATGTGTGTACAGATTGTTTTAGTGTTGAACGAGCATCAACCAGAAACATTTGCTCGATGCCTTTCAATACTGACATCTTATCTTACCGTATAATGGATGTTATCCTGGCGTTCACTGGATTCTAAATGTCATGTTTTTATATTTATCTTTTGGTACAGGATAATATTAAGGAACGTTATCTTTAAAGGATTTATCAATTTATATGGTTGGCTTTATACTAAGCCCTATTATTTCAATTTCAATCCTTTAAGACACTTAAAGGGTGCTATGTCCCTTTGATCATACCGTCATTTAAAATCACTTTCAAAAAGATATATTTTTTAAAACTAGCTTTAAGTGTTTGTGAAGAGAGTCTTGAAAAGAGGAATTTAACGAATGATATGCCCAAAAGTTTGACTTATTATAAGGTGGGGCATATATTTTTTATCCAACTCATAAAGGAGACGATCATGTTAGATTACTTCAAAGTGCAATGATGTTGTTTTTTCCTTTTTTCTCTAGAAAACCATTAATTTATTTCCCCCTCTCTCCTCATGTAGAGATGACGATGAAGTGCAGGTGTTCTCGCTGTCGGACCATCGGCTGGTGGTGCTGGAGATCACTGTCACCAACACGCCCTCTGACCCTCAGCACACCGAGGAGGACGGAGACGACGCCCACGCCGCTCAGCTGCTCATCTCCCTCCCCAACACTCTGTCTTATGCCGGCTCAAGGATCCCACCACAGGTATCTGCTCTATTAAGAACAATCTTTTTTTACCAAGAATGTTTGGATATCTGTTTTTAATGATAGCATTTTTTTGATATGCTATCTGTCTCTAGATTAGATGCCAGGCAAACCAGAATGGCTCCCAAGTCGAATGTGACCTCGGAAACCCTGTGAAACGCGACACTAAGGTACGAAAACAAAATAGTGTGAATTCAGACACGTAGCCCTTTGCTTCTTGTTGTCACCTGTCTCTAACCCATTCAACTCCAAATTACCAATGTGTAATAAAAACAAAAGTGCAAAAACTTTGGGGAAATGGGGAGAAATCAGGACAAAAATATGTAACTTGTGGTGGAAAAATATATACAGTATATGTTTTCAGATAATTTCATATATTTTCAGATTTTTATAATTTCAGCATTAAGAGAAATTATGTGTTGTTATTTTCACATATCATTTATATTTCATTTGTTGCTATTTCAGCTTAAATTCTCCATCAATTTGAGCACATCAAACATTACAATTGAGACCACTGAGTTGACAGCAGATCTCGCTTTGACAACGTAAGTCCTCTAAAATGTTCTCTTGAAAACATGATGTATACAGTATGTATGTATTTTCACGACATCAAGCACATCGAGCTCTATATACTGTAAGTGCTAATATTTGACTTGTTCAGGCCAAATAACCCTTTGATGACAGTGTTTGGTTGTTTTGTCCTCAGTATCAGTGAGCAGCCCGATCTGGTACCAGTCACAGCTTTTGCTAGAGTTGTGATAGAGCTCCCTCTGTCTGTCAGTGGGTGAGTGAAACCTTTTTCTTTTTTGTATCTCTGTTAAATCTGTATGAGGCTAGGAAAGGTTGCTATTATACATTTTGCTAAAGTTATGTTATTATGTATCAGCCTTTTACAACTCTTTATAGACGTTATGTGATGTTTACACTTGTATATTCTATATATTGTGTGCATCACATTCCACAACATTTAGCTTGTATCTTTTAGATTCGTTCAGATCTCATCAAAAATGTTAACTGAGGTTTTCGGTGCAATGCATGTATGCTTTATGCAGCTTTGTGAATGTGTGCAGCTGTCTGACCCCTTGATGTGAATGTGTTTTACTGTAGGCTTGCTCGTCCTCACCAGCTGTTCTTCAGCGGGACAGTGAGGGGAGAGAGTGCCATGGCCAGTCTGGAGGACATCGGCAGCCCTGTGGATTTTGAGTTTGTGGTGAGGAACTAGTGTGTGTTATTTTGATTGGCATCAATGCTGAAAGAAGTCCCACATCCTAATATAATCTCTTTTATATATTTTTTACATCAGGTGATTAATACCGGACAAGCTCTGCAGACGCTTGGTTCGGCCTTCCTCAACATCATGTGGCCTTACGAGCTGGCTAATCAGAAATGGCTCCTGTATCCCGCAAGCATGAAGTTTGAGGGTCACCCAGAAACACAGTGCACCTCAACGGGGGCCTTAAATCCTCTGAAGCTACCCATTTCTTCACCTGCAGGACCTCAACAGGCTGTTAATATAAGGGTAAGCAGAGCACAGTTTATTTGACTAATGTGCAAGGAAATCTATACGACACCACCAATTAAGACAGCACAGTCAATCTGCATCCACTTAATGGCCACAGAAGGTGCAGTCGATTGTTTTATTTTGGCTTTTAAATGTGTATTATTGTTAGTTGTATGCCATTAATAAAACTACCATACAATAGAAAAACTCTTTATTTGGTCTACATTCTGGTGTTTCTGACAGCAGAAATTCAAGAATTTGTGCTGAAAATGTGTTGATGTGTTAGATGACAAAAACAATCATTTCCTTACAAAGTATACTGTATACATACCATATTTTGTGGATGCAACTGCATATAAACTAATGTGTCGTTGTCATGACTGAAACATTTTCCTCCTGTGTTACATACAGTACATCGTGTCAATGTCATGTTTAATGCCAAACATGAATCATCAAAGGAGGCTGATTCATCTCTGCTTGTATGTATGTGTCACTTCCACCAGGCTGGGCGAACGCGCCGCTCCCACCCAGAGGAGGAAGGTCCAATGACGACAAAAGGCAGCGTGAGACGAACCACGCCAGCTGTGGCAGCCTCGGAGAGACGGAAGTCGCTCAAACTGGTAAGAGGGAAAGGAAAATATTGCTGCCTACACCTGTCACCAGTTAATTTGAAAAAATAAGTCCTACAGTGCTAAACTGTCACCCCTTTCTCCAGGACTGTCTCTTGGGGTCCGCTCGCTGTGTCCTGCTGCAGTGTCCCCTCCACAGCTTCTCTGGTCAGGCTGTCCTCAAGATCCATGCCAGACTGTGGAACAGCAGCTTTATAGAGGTAAATAAAAAAAACCTGTCCTCTTTACATCTGCACCTCACTGCACATTACTCTCCATCTTAGCTTCATTCCAGCTGTTTGCAACTGCTGCCGGCACTCACGTGTGAAGCGAATGAATGATGACTGCAGCAAGTGCATTTACAGGATGATTAACAACAGCTTTGATGTGAAGGCAGTAGGAAAACTGTGAAGACAGCTGTCAGCTTCGACCACTGAGAAACCGGCAGCTGCTGATACATATTCAGATGATATCGTGACAAGAAAAAAATACTGTACAGTCAACATGGCAGTTTTCTTGTTTAGTCTTTAGCTTATCGCCAAATAAATCAAGATGTCGCCGCAGACTGTATTACTTACTTAAAATGGGTCTTATTTCTAAAGTTTTAGTCAACGTTATATTATACTGTATATCAATGATGGTTCAAACTGAAAGACTAAGTTATAAAACAACAGCATTTCCACTTTCATATGAAGGCATCCTTGCCTGTTTTAATATGATGTGATATAACCTGTAAATTGTATTATTCATCCTGTCTGTCAGGATTTTTCGGCGGTCAGTGCTTTGGAACTGCTGGTCAGAGCCAACATCACTGTGAAGTCCAGCATCAAACACCTGGTCCTCAAGGACGCTTCTGCACAGGTACTTAGCATCAGTTCATAGAGCATTTATCTTTATTTTATTTAAACGTTCTTAATCTATAATCATAACAAATATATGTGAACTAAGGCCTGAGGTGTATATAAATAGGGGAGAGTGGGGTAAGTTGAGCCATTTTTTTGTTATGCTGTCCTCTAAGCAAGGAGAAATGACACATAGTAAAAATGAAAACACACACCTATAATTCAGGATGTCTCCTATCAATGGCAATGATAATAATTAATATTTGATCAAGGGCAGTGAAAATATTACTTCTAAAAAAAAAGTCTTGTGGCTCAATTTGACCCGGGTTAGGGGTAAGTTGATCAAGGTCAGGGGGTAAATTGAACCACTGTTTAAACCTGGGCATACCTACAACAAATCTTAAAGGTAACTATAAACAATAAATATCAAACCAAATACAAGTTTAGTTTTTCAAATATTTTTTATATAAATTTCTATTGAATTGATTTTTTTTTTAACATGTTAAAAGGAAAACTAATCATACAAATGGTGATACAATTTCATACATCTTACCAATCAAACACAGGATAAATTCAACTTTAAATGTAGCTTACAATGAGCTCTTATTATCAACTTGGCCTACTTTCATTCATTTCTCCATTGAAAAACTGGCTCAACTAACCCCAAGGCCCATGGTTCACTTTACCCCATAGCCACCATTTTAGAAAAAATAGCCTAGCATTAAAATTCAGAGTCATGTTTAGCTTAATGATTCACATGGTTTAATACGCTGCCAACACATCAACATATACAATATATGTGTTTAAACCTGGATACTTTTTTTTTGACATGACAGCCGATATAGCTGACATCTAGAAAATGTACTTTGACAAGCAAAAAACGTTTTTTTGTAAACATGTTTACTTACCAGACCACAATGAGTATCTCTCTTTCACAGGCAATGAGAAATGGGTGGAGCTTGCATAATCTCTCACTTGATTACAACTACAGTATAAGGCGTTGCCTAGTTACAGGGGGTGGTTCAACTTACCCCCTTCTCCCCTACTATTTTTCTTTCAATTCTGCATATAAACAATTGCATTCTTCCTTCCTCTCCAGGTTCCAGTAATGATCTACCCTGAGCCGGGTCTTGCTGATCAGTACTGGATCCCCTGGTGGATCATACTCATAGCTGTCCTGGCAGGCATCCTGCTGCTGACTCTGTTAGTCTGCATACTGTGGAAGGTAACACACACACACCTTTTTTGTCCTATGTGTCAAAGTCCTAAACCGATGTGTATATATATTTTTTTTTCTTGATTATATTCACATTCAGCACACACATAAGAGGCCTTTATAGTTTGATTGACTGCACCCCGGTCACTTCACTGTCCCTTCCTTTGTCTTTTTCCTCATATATTTCCATGGTAGTCCAATTATTTCTACCAGCTTTGTTCTGTCCTAATCATTTTATTACTTCCAGCTCACTCTCATCTGTTTCTTTCCTCTTTTGTTTGTCCTCTGTGTGTCATCTCTTTTTGTTTGTGTCTTCTCACTTCAATCTGGGACTCAAATCCCCTTCCTTTTTCATTTCCCATTGTTTCTCATCGGTTTTACTTTCCCTTTGGTGATCTGTTGCCCAGTGTGGCTTCTTCAAGCGCAGTGAGCGGCGCCGGCACTATGACACGGAGTACTACCGCGCCCATTTGGGGGTCCAACCCTCGGAGGCGGAGAAGCAGGCGTCAGAACTATAATATAAAGATATATTTCACTCTGGCCTGCTCTCCCCTCCTCCTCTCCCTCCAAGCGGTAACATATTCACACACAATGGCTGTGTTGTGCACTTTGGTGTGGCTGGTGGTGTTCATTTCAGCGTAAAATATTGACACACATTGGCACAATGAAATTAAACCAAAACTCTTATTGTTTAGCATTGTTTGGTGCCTATGAACACCATCCATCCATCTCTCTGTCAGGGCTTTTCAGATGCCTGCTGTGCTGTGTGTCGTGCCTCTGCTGTTGACCTGGCAGATTAATTAGCTACACCGGTCTATGGAGACTTCTAATTTTGTGATGTGCTTGTCATGCGCTTTTTAATACAGTATATTAACACTCCTGTGTGACATATCATAAAAGTGCCTTATTGTCAGGTGTTAAAGTTTACTTGTCATTAACATCTTCAGGTGTTTTTGTCACAGGAATGTGGGCACTTCTTCTTGATGGCAGCGTGTTTGGGTGTTAGTCACGGACACTAAAGGATGATGCTGAATTTGAAATGTGGAGCATGTTGATGTGCTTTGGGTGCTTTTTTATTAAAATGTCACTTTAACTGCACAAGGGCAGCAGATAATCACTTTTATCTGTTTGAGATGAACTACAAGACTTTAATAGTCTTTAACTAATTACATTTTATACGCCTCATGCATGACATTTGAAGTTAAACAAATGAAATAATTGCAAACAAATGCATGCAATTTGTGTGGAATTTGCAATAACTATATATGACTTAATTTAATTTGTCTTTTCCTTCCGTCCTGTCTCTCTGTCTCTCCCTCCCTGTTTTCCTCTTTCCTCTGCCCACAGTGTGGCTTCTTCCAGCGGGCCCACTACAAAGACAAGTTGCCTCAGTACCACGCGGTGAAGATTCCTCGCGAAGACCGGCCACAGTTCCAGACTGAGAAGTCAGGAGTTGTGCATAAAAAGGAATGGGCCACGCACTGGAGCGACCGGACCTCATAACTCACTTTGAAGCACTGACTGACTGAATTAATTCAAATCACCATGTGTGGCACTCATTCTGTCTTTGCATTGGAACTAACGGACTAAAAATGGTGAACATAGACTGAGATCGTGACATCTTGTGCACTCTGTACTGTGTCAGTACTTGCATACTTATGGCCTGTTGCACTGTGACTGGATCTATACTCTCTGTAGCCCACTGATGGCTGGCCTTGCATAGTCTATTTAATCTGTGCATCTATATCAGTGTGTATAGTTACTACTGCAGGCCAACAACAGTATCAGAACCAGTCTAGCAGCTCCAAATACTAACAGTCTTCAGAAAGAAGGACACATGGACTTCACTGTTTTCCTGAGGACAAAATGAGGACGGAAAATCACAACTCAAAGACATGCATGAATGCACAAACATACAGTATAATATTAGATGCATACAGACACACTGGACATTGTTGATGAAGAAGACACTGCCCGTGACGAAGACTACTTTTTGCCTTAACTACTGTAAGACTGTCGACTAATATGGGCAATGACAAAAATGCTTCTTTTTTTATATAAATGATTTTTGGGGATTTTGTTTAGCACTGGTGGACATTGTAAAAATGTCAGTATGTAAGATATCAGTTAAGTTTTATGTTGCAGAACACTGAATGTGTCTGGGTTTCATTCAAGGAAACGAAATGCATTTTTACGTCATTATAGTTTTTGTTTATGTGTCAGTCAAATGTACTGTACATCAATAGGTTACTGCCTGAGTGAACTTGAATAAGAACAATACAACCTATAACAGCCACGCCCATAGCACTGCAGCCGCATGGAGATCAAATATTTAATGAAAGCAGAGCAATATTTAAAATATGGCCTCAACATTTACACTGTAAGCATTTAAATTCATAAACCAGATTATAAAATGATTATGTGTGAAAACATGGTCTCAAATTACAGCCTATAATGTAAGAGTGAATGAGATACTCTATTATTATAAGGTTTTCAACTACTTCCATTTATTTTTGGACTGAAATGTAAAAATATTTCACCAGAAAACATGATAACCTTTGTATAAATAGTTATGAAACTGCCTAGTTGGATTATATTAACCTGCTTGTTGCGTTGTTCCTGGTACTGTACTCCAGTCACAGCAGCCGGAGTAAGATGGTACATTCATTTCAGTACTGACATTTCTAACTGCGTACAAGTGCCTTGTTGTAAAAGTGGCTGACACCTCTGGATAATAAAAAAATCCCTCTAACATTCAACCAACATGGAGAGAGGAAAGAATATTTCAAGAAGAGCAGGACATGTTGGCAAGGAGCAAGACGAACTTCCTTTGGATCTAATTTGGGTCGATGAAGTGGCTGTAAAGCATGAAGAGTCAGTTTGTTTTTGAAGGTATTGCTGGACAATCTTGTATTAGCTGCATGAAGCTCCTGTTGCTGTTCTGCCCCCCCCCCCTTCCCTATTTTTGGTCATGACAAAGTGTTTTATTTATTTTATGTTTGGCTGCACTGTTTAACATTGTAAATAAAATAAAAAGAAACAAAATAAACCCATCTGATATTGCTTTGTTATTCTCCCACCTTGCATTGTACTGTATCAAAGCATTATCAACCCATCCTCATGAACTGCTCCGCCTGCTTTTTCAATATGTTCACTGAGACCAACTGGACAAAACTCACACACATCACCAACACTGCTGCCAGGTTATTGAAAAGCGCTATATAAATAAAAGTTATTATTATTATTATTATCACCAACACTGCTGCCAGGATAATTGGACTCCCCACACACAACCTCACAATACTTAACAACAGGACCATCTCACGCATCGCATCCACAATAGAACTGGACATCACACATCCACTCATCAGTACCTCACCCCACTGCCATCCGGACGCAGGTACAGAACACTCAGACATAAAAGAGCTCGCTTTGGAAAAAGCTTGGTTCCGGCAGCCATTTCTGCCATAAATAACAGGCCTCGCTAAATGTAACTGCCATGTGTGTCACCATCTGTTGTTGTCGGTGTCATTGTTTGCTGTTTATATATTTCATCTATACTGTGTACAGTGCTGTGAAAATGAATTTCCCCCTGGGGACAGTAAATCTAATCTAATCTAATTCACCCACATCAGTGAGAGGTTACTGGTCAGCCTGCAGTTCACTCAGAGAACACTGGAGGGAGGGAAACGTCTGAAAAACAAAAAACTCTCTGGTCTCTGTGCTATTTATTATTTTTTATTAAAAAAAAGATATACTGTGTGTGATAGCCAAAATGAATGAATACTGATATTATGTAAATGTTGACTTTTACACGATGGAAACTTTTCAAGACAATATAAGCAATAGCCCAGATATGAATATGCTTTATTCTGTTCCTTATTTCCATGGTAATCTTGCCCATCACCTCGTAATAAGATATTAATGAGTCAAAATGAGCGGAGACACATTTCACCATAAGCATTATTCTCAATGTTAAAAAAAAGCAACATGTTTTTTATAAAAAATACTCTTTATTCTGCGGAATACAATTTTATAAATGTTGTGTGTGTGTGTTATTAAAGCAAATCAATATCAGGTGTAAAGATATAGAGTGGTTATTTGATGTTATAATAAAAAACATCTTCAGGATATATCACAGGCCAGGAGCTCAGACTGTGCTCTGGGTTATAAAAGAACAGGTCAACTCGAGGTCAGACTGACTTTGAATCCTCTGCTAATTTCCTGGTTTAACGTGCTACAAGCATGATAATTAAACTGGTAATACATGGTTTCTAAAATACCAGCAGCTACATAAGGCTGAACCAGTAGGTGTTAGACCTTCTCAAGACCATGGGTTGGATAGAAATACAAATAATTCTCAATTATACACTCTAGATTCTCTTTCCTTCAGCTTTATGTTTAAAGTGGTACAAAGACAACACATTTTTGACTTGGTACCTTCTACAAGTAGTTTGTTTGTTTCAAGCTCTTTAATGGTCTCACATTGATGTTTCTGTAATAAGAAATACAAAATAAGATGGACATTAGGTAATGTTGAATCCATTTTTTGATTGATATTAGATTGAACCTAAGATAAATCGATACACACCTACTGTGTGATAACAGTAATTGCCTAAAACTCATAGCAAACAAATGAATGACACACAGTAATTATGTACCCTATAATAGCTTATGCAAACGCTTGGTTACACGTGTACATTGAATTGCAATGAGGAGTAC